CTCCTGGGTATCTAAGCAACCTTTTTTAAGGCCCACACTACTCACCTCCAGGTGTGAGGAAGGGACTAGAAAAGGTCCCCTACAATTTGTATGCTTCATCCAACCCCAGACTGCTTACTGTGGCAGGCAAGGATCCCACCCTGTGGACAAAACAAAAAAGCATACACATACTTTTGCAAAGATGATTCTATTTATGGTTAGTACATGGAATGTGTGCATGCTTATGGACAACATGAAATCCAATAGACCTGAAAGATGACCAGTCAGCAGGTATCACATCCAAATGGCAGTCCTGAGTGAGATAAGGCTGGCAAACAAAGGCCAACTTACAGAGCTGGATACACATTTTTCTGGAGTTGCTGCAGTGAAAAGGAGTACCATGAAGCTGGTGTAGGTTTTACAGTCAAAACTAATCTAGTCAACAAGCTTTTATGCCTACCAAAAGGAATGAATGATGGACTCATGACAACAAGATTGCCACTTGCAGGAAAGCACCAGGCCACCATCATCAGTGCATATGCTCCTACCATGATGAACCCTGATAAGGCCAAAGAAAAATTTTATGCCAAAGAAAAATTTTATGAAGACATAGAAACCCTCATCATCAATGTGCCAAAAGAGGCCAAGCTTATAATTCTAGGTAACTTTAATGCGAAAGTAGGCCCAGATTATGAGACATGGCAGGGAGTCCTAGGGGAAAATGGAGTTGGAAACAGCAACAGCAGTGGTGACTTACTACTGAAGACTTGTGCATTTCATGACCTTCTTGTCACCAACACTGTCTTCTGTTTACCTAAATGTAATAAAACTTCATGGATACACCCTCACAGCTAACATTAGCATTTAATAGACTCTGACATTGTAAGGAGAAGAGATAGACAGGATGTGAGAGTGATGAAGGTGATATGTGGCACAGTGCTGAACTGATCATAATTTTATCCTCGCCAAGCTAAATATGCACATTCAAAAAAAGTGGCAGCCCCAAGGCGAGACAACTACCAGAATTCTTAATGTCAACATTAGAGTGCTTCTCTGAGGGAATAGTTCTATTGCTAACTTGGAGGGAAAGCTGAGCCAACAGTGGATCAGTAAAAGGAGTAGGCAGCTTTCAGAGATCTGGTGTATAGCATTGCATTTACTCATCTGGGCCAGAATACTTGCAAACATGAAGATTGGTTTAACAACAGTAATAGGGAAATTCAGAAGTTGATAAGCAAAAAACGAGAACTCCATGGGGTTTACCAGCAGAATAGTTCATCCATCTCTAAGAAAGCAGCATTTAACTTCATCAAAAGTAAAGTACAAGGAAAGCTTAGAGAGATGCAGGATTCTTGGCTCGGTAAGAAGGCAGATGAAATTCAGTAACATGCTGATAGTAACAATCCAAAGTGCTTCTATGGTGCCCTGAAGGCTATTTATGGGCCAAAGACCTATGGTGCATCTCAACTACTCAGTGCTGATAGAGCCACATTGATTAGTGATAAGGACCTGATCTTGGCAGATGGGCTGAACACTTCCATAGTGTTCTCAACAGACCATCATCAATCAATGCTGAAGCCATTGGCCATATACCTCAGGGTGAAGTCAATTTCTCTCTAGCTGAACTTCGACTGAAGAAGAGGTGTTAAATGCTATTAGGCTCCTCTCCTGTGGCAAAGCACCTAGTGCTGATTCTATTTCAGCTGAAATTTACAAGGCTGGAGATTCACTGCTCATACAAAAGCTGGCAGAAATTTTCCAAGTTGTATGCCAAGAGGAGATTATTCCCCCAGGAGTTCAAGGATGCTTCCATTGTTCATCTCTATAAAGGTAAAGGAAATAGATTGTCCTGTGACAATCACAGGGAGGGTCTCTCTCTTAATCATTCTGGGCAAGATTCTTGCCAGAGTCCTCCTAAATAGACTGATCCTTCACCTGGAACTTGATCATCTACCTGAGAACCAGTGTGGCTTCAGAAAGAGACGAGGAATGGTCAATATGGTGTTTGCTGCCTGACAACTCCAAGAGAAATGCCAAGAGCAGTACAGAGGTCAGGCCAAGTCACTTTACCTCAATTGCCTCTTTTTTTTACTATAAAAAATGCTTTAATGGTGTTATCTGTATAGAATTTGATGTCAACGAACAGAAAAATAGCAAGTGCAGAATGCAGCAAGACATAAACATCAGAAAATAAGTTTGTGAGTAAATAAAAAGAGTTCATACAGCTATCAACATAATTTACAGCAATTGATGCATAGGTTTATACCACTCTTCAGCCTCCTCCTCAAATTCTCCCTCCTCCTCAGCTGTGACATCCTGATACTGCTGATACTCAAAACCAAATCATTCATGTTGCTTTCTGCTGCAGTGAATTCCATTTCATCCACGCCTTCTCCAGTATACCAGTGTAAGAAAGCCTTTCTGTGAAACATGGCTGTAACTGCTCAGAAATGTGCTTAAAGAGCTCTTGGATGGCACTACTATTACCAGTGAAGGTGGCAGACAAAGTAACTGCTATTCTTATTTGGAACCTCGAGCATTTGCTCATCTACTTCCTTCGTGGACATACCGTCTCTGAAAGTGGCTGCCACCATAAGATAGTGCCCATGCTGTGGGTCACAAACAGACATCATGTTCTCTACATCAAACATCTGCTGGGTGAGCTCTGGCAGAGTTAAAGCACGGTACTGCTGGCTACCATGGCTAGTCAGTGATGCAAAGCCAGGCATAAAGAAGCACAGACAGAGAAAGGGAACTATGTTCACTGCCAGCCTACACAAGTCAGCATTAAGCTGACCTGGGAAATGTAAGCAGGTGGTGATGCCACTCATGTTGTGACACCAGGTGGTTCAGGTCACCATACATGGGAGTGGTCAGGATTTTGAAACAGATATCATAGAGGACTTCATTATCGGTACAATAGGTTTTATCCATGTTTTCTACAAGCTGGTGTTGTACACCGATGATGGTGTATACAATGTTCATCAATCTGACCAAGACCTTTGATGCTGTCAGTTGTGAGGGCTTATGCAAAATTATGTCAAAATTTGGTTGCCCAGAGAAGTTCGTCATTGTTATACATCAATTTCATGATGATATGCTTACCCAGGTTCCAGATAACGAATGATGCTCTTGAGTTTTCCAGTCACCAATGGAGTGAAGCAAAACTGTGTGCTTGCTCCCATGCTTTTTAGCATGATGCTTTCAGCAATGTTGTCAGATGCCTTCAACGAGGACAAAAAAGGCATCAAAGTCAGCCACCATACTGATAATAAATTATTTAACCTGAAAAGGCTACAGGGCTACTAAGTGGAGGGAGAACTGGTACAAGATTTTTTGTTCGCAGATGACTATGCATTCAATGAAGTCTCTGAAGCTGAGATACAACAACATATGGATCGATTCTCTTCTGAATGTGCTAATTTTGGCCTAACAATGAAAAACAAGAAAATACAGGTTGTCCACCAGCCAGCACCACACCATCCATAGGTGGAACCATCAGTTACAGCAAATGGAAAGATATCAAATGCTGTGGATAAGTTCACTTTCTATGAGTGAAGCAGATTGCAGTAGCACAAAAGAAAGGTGAGATGCATTAATTTAGAGACATCTCCACTCCAAATGTTCATATGGACTATTTGTGCCCGACCTGTGGTAGAGCCTTCTCAGCTTGTATTGGTCTGATCAGCCACAGATGGACACACTGTACCTTGACTCTAACAAAATGATGTCGTTTTGGTCCTCTTCAAGAAAGAAGGACAACCACCATATAGTGGGGGGAGAGGGGGAAGGGGTGGATTTGGAGTCAGAAAAATCAGCATTTGAATCCCAGTTCTGCTTACTACTTGTGTGACTTTCAGTGAGCTACTTAACTTTTCTAGTCCTCATTCTCACGTTGATAAAATGAGGGGAATAGACTAGAAATTCCCTAAGGTCATAGGTAGGTAGGCAGGAATTTAGTTGTGTCTAACTCTTTGTGTTCTCATTTGGGGTTTTCTTGGCAAAGATACTGGAGTGCTTTGCCATTTCCTCCTCCAGCTCATTTGACAGATGAGAAAACTGAGGGCTTTACCAACCTTCTAGTCCCCTAGGTTCACAACCTCAGAGTAATCCTTAACTCTTCACTCAATCCCCTTCAACTCTTCATCTTCAAATCTCCTTCACCCTGTATATTTAATCAGTTTCCAAGTCTTATTGACTCTACCTCTTATGTATCTCTCTTCTTCACTTCTGCAGTCATCACCCTACCTCTGGCCCTAATCACTGGACTATCATTGTTCAGTCATTTTCAGTCATGCCCAGTTTTTCATGATCCCATTTAGGGTTTTCTTGGCAAAGATACTAGAGTGGTTTACCATTTCCTTCTCCAGTTCATTTCGCAGATGAGGAAACTGAGGCAAACAGTTTAAATGACTTGCCCAGGGTCACACAGCTAGTGTCTGAAGCCAGATTTAAACTCAGGAAGATGAGTCTTTCTGTCTCCAGGCCTAGTGCTCTATCGACTGTACCACCTAGCTGCCTAAGTTATGACCCTATGAACCTTCATTACTGTCTGCTCTGTCAGTGATCAGGAGAGGCCTTTTAGATTGAGAGAGACCTTCATTCCACCGCCTGGGCAATTTTATGTTCTAAAATAAGCTGGGAACTTGCTCTAGGACAAACCTGGTCTACCTCCTCCTCCCTCTGTGCTCTTTCTAAGCTTCAGGTGCAGAAAGAAGATACTGGAGAAGTCAGAGGGAAAATGACCACGCAGGGAACTGCTATAAGTTGCATTCTCAGTTTTATTGTTACATAAGTTTTTGTTATTTTGATCTAACTCTAGCAGGCAGCCTTTAAAAGAAGCAAGCATGGCACAGAGAACATGTTAGGAGTTTCTTATCCCCTTTCTCCTTCCAACCATTGTAGTTTCAGGATCTCTGGGTAGGACTGAGGAGGAGAGGACCGGGATTGCTCCATGGAGCAAGAGCCAGTTGGTAGAGAATAGGGATATAGCAGAAGGAGATGGCAGTGAAGGTTGGATACTAACAGCAGCAGTCATCTTCATCATTGGCACAGCAGGCAGGGCCACAGGCTCTCATGGGGATGATTCCCAGACAGCAGCATCCACCTTCGCAACAGCCGGAGCTACAACAGCCAGAGCTACAACAGCCAGAATCCTCACAACAGCCAGAACTCTCACAACAGCCTATGTTTCCTTCACGGCACTGGGGCCCACGAATCCAGCGCCTCAAAGGCCTCACTCCAAAGCTTATCGGAGCAGTGGGGCAGGAAGTGGTGCCACAGGAATTAGAAACATAGTAGGAAGATGGCACCATGTACTGTGGTGCCAAGTACTGGACAGAGGGAGCCTGCACGTAGTAAGTCTGTGTCTGGCAAGGTGCTGGGCATTTGACAGAAGACTGTGTTTGGCATGGAGCTGGGCATTTGGCATTGGTTTGTACCTGGGTTGGAGCTTGGCATTTCACAGAGGTAGTCTGACACGGAGGAGCGCATTTCACATAGGTTGTCTGACACGGAGTTGGGCATTTCACAAAGGTAGTTTGGCATGGAGCTGGACATTTCACATAGGTAGTCCTGGCATGGAGGTGCACATTTCACATAGGTAGTTTGGCATGGAGGTGCACATTTCACATAGGTAGTTTGGCATGGAGCTGGGCATTTGACATAAGTAGTCTGGCATGGAGGTGGACATTTCACACAAGAACTCTTAGATTGGCCTTTCTGGAAGAGAGAAGAGGCTCCTTTTACAAAGGAAGTCTTAGACTGGCATGGCTCTGGTCCACTCCCATAGGAAACCTGTGCCTGGCAAGGAAGCTGGGCCTTGGGTAGCTTGGATGGGCCCTGAAGCTGAGCCTTTCACACAACATGGCAGGAACTGGGGCTGCTTCTGCTGGTCACACATTTTTTTTTCTTCTTCAAGTGCTGAATCTGAAAAAGGGAGTTTACAATGGGTCAGTGAAATAGGGAGACATTTTCAGAATCTTGAGACATCTATTAAACACTCGGAGGGTCTAAACAATTACATTTAAAATTTCCCCATCTGGCAAAATTACAGTATAGGGAGACAGGATTCTAATCCTGGGAATTAGATTAGATAATCTGTAAGATTATTCTCAACTCTAAATTTCTATTAAAGATCATCTAGCTTTAACCCCCTTGTCTTATATATGAGAAAATTATGATTCTGAGAAATAGGTCCAAGGTTACCCAACTAGAAAATAGAAGAGAAAGGACTTAACCCAGGTCTCCTGACTCTCAGCCCAAGGTTCTTTCCCATATATTAGCATGTCTTTCACCATCTCCCCATGCCCTGCCACATACACATATTATTTTTCCTCTGAAATTACCTTCCATTCTCCACCCTTCCACTCCCCCCCACCAGGTGTGTATATGCATGTATTCATATATATAATGTGCATTTTATGTGTACATATACATAGTTATTTGCATGTTGTCTCCCCCACTTGACTGCTAGCTCCCTGACAGAAAGGACCTTTCTTTGTATACCCAGGTTCAGCACAGTGCCTGGCACATAGTAAAGCTCTTGATAAATGCTTGTTGATACTCTATTCTATGTTACTCTGTTCTTTTCTTTCTTTTCCTTTCTTTTTCTATTCTATTCTACTTTATTCTGTATCTTCTTTGTCTGATTTGTGAATTATCTTCAGAATATGGTAAATTCCTAGGTAATTTCTCCCTTCTCTTTTTCTCACCACTTAATCCAGGGTGTAGCCTGGGAAAGCAAACTCATTTTGATAGTAATCTCCAAACTGAGCCTTACCAGTTGTGAAAAAAAAAAGTTACACATCAGAAAACCAAATAAAATTTCCTTCTTAATTATCCACTGCTTTAGATTATCCAGGGTCTCTACATCCCATGAAACAGAGACTCAAGAGTTAACTGCAAATACAAGCAAGACCCAGGATATCCTAAGACAATTTACCAACACAGGATACCCCCCCCCAGCCTTTCTATGTTCAACCAGAACTTACCTAAACCTTTCCCTTCTGCCATCTCAGAGTTTTCTGGCACCAAGTTAGCAAAATCCTTCATCCCACCCCATCACCTTACTCTTGAAACCCAAAGAGACTCACCCTCTTTGAAGACTGGAGCAAGGCTTTGAGAAGACAGATGCTGTGAGGAACACAAGACCAGAAGGCCTTTTTATAAGGGGCTCTTAGCTCTGACTCTTGGTATGAGGTAATTTATTGGCATCTAATTCTTTCATCAGGCAGCTGGGCACCCCATGACCAAGTCTGGCATTCCATTGGCCAGATTCCTCCTGCATATAGCTGTCTATTCAGTCACAGGTAGAGCATGCCTCTCTGTTCAGTGCTGAGTCCTCAGGAATATGAGAGAAAAAAATAAAAAGATTCTCATTCTATTCTTCACCTATAGACCTGCTCTTCATGCTTATAAGTCCTCATGTATTTCAAAGGAATATTTCCCTAGGAATATTTAAGTCTAGACAGGAGGTGTCAAACATACAGCTGTGGGCAACATGCCTGAGTGTCCAGAACCAAATTAAAATGTAATTGGGAAATATCTAACAAAATTAATAAAATACAATAGAATACAGAAAACTTTAATATGTGATTTTCAAAATCAATTTGGAGCCATAGGGATCCTTATATATGGTTTAGTGGCCCCTGTTTCTATTCAAGTTTGACACCACTGGTCTATATCACTCAGTTTTTCAAAGTATTTAAGAGTCTCAATCTTTAGTAAAGGCATGATTTGGGTTCTAGGGTTGACTGCTCCTCCCTAAGGGTTGCAAGAGGCTCTCCTAGAAAATTGTCAGTGTAGCCCAGGTCAGAGTTGAGACCACAAATCCATTGGTACCAGTGATGCTTTGAGCTCACTGTGAAAATTAAATGATTCCAAAGAACAGTCAGAAAAGAAGAAAAACTTTCTAAAGTGCTTGTTTTCTGCTAGACCAGGGGATAAAATAATAAATAATTAAAAAGCAAAAATAAAAACAAAATAAGCCCTGTCTTCAAGCAGTTTACATTATCCTGAGGGAGCAGAAGGAAACAACATGTGCACAAATAAGTAAATAGAAGATAATTTGAGATAGTCAGGGATGGCGTGCCTCTACGGGTATGCCTGTAATCCTGCTGCTAGAGAGGCCGAGGCTGGTAGAATTTGGAAGTTCACAGCTGCATTCAGTAGAGCTAAAGCTGTTAGGATGTCTATATTAAGTGTGCTACCAAAACAGTGAGTCCCTACTAGTGGAAGGTGACTAAGCTGCTTAAAGAGGGGCAAACCAGTCCAGGTCAGAAAAATGGAGCTGGTTAAATCTCCTTTGCTGAGGAATGTTGGGATCAGGCTCCTGAGTAGTCACTACACTTCCAGCCTGGGTGAGATGGAGAGACTTAATCTTAGTGACAACAATAACAATAATTTGAGGAGGGAGAGAGAACTAACAACTGGAACACCGGCAGGCTTCATGGAGAAGGTGTCACCTGAGCTAAACCTTGATGGGAAAGTGACATGTAGAAAGGCACAGGCAGAGATTAAATACAAACTCCCCAAACTGACATTTAAAGTCCTCCAAACCTGGTTCCCACATCCCTTTGCTATCTTATTTCATATTATGACCCCTCATGCATTCTCCATTCTAGCAAAACTCCTTGGCTAGCTATCCCCCATACACAATATTCATCTTCCAAATCTGTGCCTCTATGTAAGTGGTCCCCCATTGTCTAGAATGCATTCCCTCCTAATCTCCACCTTATAGAGGCAGCTAGTAATACAGTGTTCTGGAGTCAGGAGGACCTGAGTTCAAATCCAGCCTCAGACACTCACTAGCTTTGTGATTCTGGGCAAGTCCACTTAACTTCACAGGGTTGTTGTAAAGATCAAATGAAATAATATTTGTAAAAGTGCTTATCAGAGCTCCTAGCACATAGTAGGTACTATATTAATGCTTATTCTCTTCCTTTTCTTTTCCTTTTCCCTAGGCTCCTTAAAAGCATAGCTCTGATGTAGCCTCCTATGCAAGGCCTGTTTTGATTCCCACAGCGATTTCTCCATCTTGAAATTACTTTGTATCCCTCTGTGAGTACTTTGCATTTGCTTATTCATGGGTAAACTGCATGTCTGCAGAATTTTTGTCTTTGTATCTTCAGTGTCTCTCATATTGCCTTGAACACAGGAGATGTTTAATTAATATTTGTTGAATTGAATTGAACTAAGAAGTGACAGGCACAGGATACATATTCAGCAAATGTTTGTTGTCAGGGAAGGGAATGTAAAGTTTGGGCAGAGTGGAAATAAAAAACAACCATGTTAGATTAAGAGATGGATTTCTGTCCTGATAAATGCTACTAACAGTGTATACTCCATACAAAGTCATTTCCCTTCATAAGGCCTTTGTTTTCTTATCTGTAAAATGAGGAGATTTGGACTTGGGTCAGTAATCAAGGGTCAGAAAATTGTGATCGGAGGGCCAAATACACTCTCCAGTTGCCTATTTTGTATGACTAGCAAACCGACAATGGCTTTTTAAATTTTTTTTTTTAGGGGCAACTAGGTGGCACAGTGGATAGAGCACCAACTCTGGATTTAGGAGGACCTGAGTTCAAATCCGGACTCAAACACTTGAGGCTTACTAGTTGTGTGACCCTGGCCAAGTCACTTAACCTGGTTGCCTAGCCCCCCCCAAAAAAAATGTTTTTTTAATAGTTTTATTTTTTCCCAATTACATGTAAAGACAATTTTAACATTAATTTTTTTTTAAATTTTGAGTTCCAAATTTTCTCCTTACCTCCTCCCTCCCTGAGACAGTAAGCAACTTCATTGAGACTGGCTTTTACCATAGAGGAAAAGAACTGGGATTACAACCAAAGGTAACTTACCCAGTAAAACTAAATATAATCCTGAATGGAAAAAAAAAATGACATTTAACAAACTGGAAGACTTTCAGGTTTTTGCAACAAAAAAAAACCCAAGTACTTAAGGGAAAATTCTACGTATGATATCCAGGAGAAATATAAGGTAAACATTAAAAACAAATTATAAAAAACTCAATAAGGTCAAATTGTTTACTTTATATATGAGAAAATATTAGCAGTACTCTTACGATTGTCGTTATTTGGGTAGTTTGAAAGAAAGGCTTGGGCTAAGCTGAGTATGATGGGATGATTCAAAAAAAATTAAATTGTGTAGGGAGATATTAAAAGGAATAATTATCTCATACAAATGAGGCATAAAAGGAAAAATTGATACAGAAGAAGCTAGTCGTAGGGAGGGCAGGTAGTGCTGGAATCTTACTCTCATTGGGAATGGGTTAAAGAGACATGTATATGTATAAAAGTCTCCTAAATTCAGAAAGAAATAAGAGAGCAAGAGGATAGGGTGGGGGCAGAGGATAAGGGAGAGACGTAGAGGAGTGAGTAGGTTAAGGAATAAGAGGGCAAGATAATGGGTAGAAGTAAAGCAAAGGAGTGAGGAGGGTTAGGTTAAATAGGGTGAGAAGAATAGTGAGGAAAAACAGGAAGGAGGAAAATACACAACAAGTAATTGTAGCTTAGAATGGGAATGGAAAGAATTTGCCCATAAAATGGAAATGGGTAGCAGAGTAAAAATTTGAATTCAATAATATGTTGCTTTCAGGAAACATTATAAAAATGAGAGATGCACACAAAGATAAAATAAAAGTCAAGAGTAAAATTTAGTGTGTAAAAAAAGCAGGGATAGTAATCATGATCTCAGACAAAGTTAAAGTTAAAGTAGATTTAATCAAAAGTGAAGAATAAAGAAACTACTATGTGTCAGCAATATTATTCAATATTGTTTTAGACCATTTGAAATACCTAGACAGTATAAAGTACCTGAACAATATACCTGCCAAAAGAGACACAGGAACTATATGAACATAAACATAAAATATTTTTAATA